CCGGGTCCTACTTGGCCTACAAACGGGAGGTGGACTACAAAGGACTCAATGAGGCTGTCACCCTCGCGATCTACCACACGATCTGGAATGTAGGGTGCATAATATAGATTAATAATACAATGGCTATACCAAGCCTGCAGACGACGGATCTGGAATCCTGAGCAGTAGCCCAACTCTACTTGGATCCTACTAGCTAGACTATACTAAAGCTTTGAGGTATTGGAGATCTTGAAGAGATATGAGTTGGGGAATACTAGATGATATTGATTAGGCATAGTCAGTGCATACATATAAGCTAGGTGGGGAGCCTTGATAGGCAGGCCCACGAGCTCGATTACATTCCAACACTCCCCCATAGTTGGAATTGAGAGCACCGCGAACATTAAGACTGGACCTAAACTCAGTGAAGACGGACGTCGGCAAGCCTTTGGTGAAGACATCGGCGTACTGGGACGTAGTGGGCACGTGTAGGATGCGGACTTCACCAAGGGCGACCCGTTCTCTGACGAAGTGTAGATCGATCTCGACATGCTTGGTTCGCTGATGCTGGACCAGGTTGGTGGAGAGGTAGACAGCACTGACGTTGTCACCATATACCACGGTGGAACGGCGAAGAGGATGGAGGAGCTCTTGCAGAAGTTGACGTAACCAGCAGGCTTCAGCAACACCATTCGCCATGGCCCGATATTCCGCCTCAGCACTGGACCAGGACACTGTAGGCTGACGCTTGGACGACCAGGAGATGAGATTGTCCCTGAGAAACAACGCATATCCAGAGGTTGACTTGTGTGTGTCAGGACATCCCGCCCAATCAGCATCTGTGTAGACAGTAAGATCAGCCGGTGTGGTTCGGTGGAGATGCAGACCAAGATCCAGAGTACCCTGAAGATAGCGGAGAATGCGCTTCATAGCACCAAGATGAGGCTCCCGAGGGTCATGCATATATAAACAGACCTGCTGAACAGCATATGCAATATCTGGTCGGGTGAAGGTGAGATACTGAAGGGCACCAGTGATACTGCGATAGTGTGTAGGGTCAGCGACTGTGACACCATTAGCAGAGAGCTTGGCGTGAGTATCCACAAGGGTGCTGCAGGGCTTGCGGTTGAGCATACCAGCACGTTCCAGAATATCCAGCATATACTGACGCTGGGAGAGAAACAAACCGTCACGATGGCGCTGAACACTGACTCCGAGGAAATGATGAAGTGATCCCATGTCCGTCATAGAGAATTCCTGGCGGAGAGCTGTAATAATCCGCTGAAGAAAACTCATGGAGGAGGCCGTCAGAACAATGTCATCCACATATAGGAGCAAGAAAGCCATATCAGAGCCGTGACAATAAATGAACAGCAAAGTATCAGACTTTGCCTCTGTAAAACCAAGGGAGGTGATATGAGAGGCAAACCGACTGTGCTAGGCACGAGGAGCTTGCTTCAATCCATAAAGAGACTTATTCAGGCAGCAAACATAATCAGGTCTGGAGGAGTCAACAAAACTAGTTGGCTGAGCACAATAGACTGTCTCGGTCAAGGTGCCATAGAGAAATGCATTCTTCACATCAAGCTGATGAATTGGCCATGAGCGAGAGAGTGCCAAAGTAAGAACTGCTCGAATGGTTGCTGGCTTGACCACAGGAGTGAAAGTTTCATCATAATCAATACCCGGACGCTGTGTGAAACCACGCAAGACCCACCGAGCCTTGTAGCGGTCAAGAGAGCCATCTGACTTGAACTTGTGATGAAACACCCATTTTCCTGTAACAAGATTGACACCGCGTGGTCGAGGCACCAGGGTCCAGGTGTCATTGGCTTGCAGGGTATCAAACTCTGCCTGCATAGCAAGGCGCCACGCAGGGTCTGACAGAGCGGTGCGGACAGAGGTGGGCACCGGAGAGAGAGCCGACGTGTGCAGGTTCAGGCGGTCGACGGGATGGCGAACACCATCCTTGCCACGTGTGCGCATGCTGTGCGCATTGGTGACAGGGATGATCGTCTAGGGCGCCGTGGTGGTGGTGCGGCCAGTGGGGCGACCGGCGTCGCTGGCAGCGACCTAGGACGGAGCGTCCACAGGGGCAGCAGCACTGGTCTGCCCGCCTGAGAAGGCGCCAGTGGGAGCGCCCGTGGCTGGCGCCTGAGGCGCAAGGCCGCCGCTGCCTGGGCTCCCCGGGGCGGCATCCATGCCTCTAGGAAGACGGGTACCTGCATGCACAACTCTTGACCCACTGGGTGAAGAGGAATCATCAGCGTCATCCAAAAAATCAAGTGTGGTGGGATCCTGGGGTGAAGTGGACATATCGGCGAAGGGAAATACCGTCTCATCAAAGACAACATGATGAGAGACGATGATCCGGTTAGAGTGAAGGTCAAGACACCGATAGCCCTTATGATTAGAGGAATACCCCAGGAAGACACACAGGGAGGAATGCGGTGATACCATGAAGAGATATGAGTTGGGGAATACTAGATGATATTCATCAGGCATAGTCAGTGCATACATATAGGCTAGGTGGGGAGCCTTGATAGGCAGGCCCATGAAACCGATTACATTCCAACAAATCTATCCTATTCTTCTCTGGTTGATCTCTCAGATGATTGATATGGTTGAGGATGATCCTTTTGGAGGAGGTAGGGGGGCTCCTTTTATAGGGGGCACTAGGCATCCTGTGGGCCCATGAATTTGTGGCAACGATGCATCTGGACTCTTGATTCGAACCGACCTTGATACGCGGCTTAGATTGATCCCTAGAGGCGGTGGAGCACCGACATATGAAGCAGGGACTGTTTGGTGGGCCTCATAGGCCGGCCGCCCCCCGAATTGCGGCGGTTTGTCTTTAACGGTGGATTGGTGGTCCTCTATGTAGGTTTCGTCGTGGATGATCATGATTTGCTCTGACGGATAGGTCTACTTTGCCTGTTTTCTGATTAAATTCTCCTGCAGACACATATTCGCCAGATGAGAGAGAGGAGGGGGGTCGAGGCGTTCCTGCAGGAAAGCGCAGCTGCGGTAATTTTTTCTCTCATTTTTTTTACAAACGGTTGTTTTTCTCTGGTGGACGGCGCGATCCATGAGAGTGTCTGCCTTTGGTATTGGCACGCAGGCGGAGCCGCGGAGGAGAGCTGGCACTACTACCGTGGGCTTCTCCAGAACATACTGTAACCATTCTCTGGGCCAAACACCAACGCGTAACGCTTCTTGGACCTGGGCTGCCGGAACGGCACGAGCCCAACATTTGGCAGCAAATATCAGCAACCGCTGCACGAATCGCAAAAGTGACAAAGGGTCGTTTCGTGCCTAACTGTTACTCCCTCCGTTCCAAATACGTAGCAAATTGAATGTATAGAACAAGTCAAAACGACTTATAATTTGGAATGAAAGGATTACTAATTAGTAATAACTCCTCAAGTAAGTTTTAGGATCTCCGGTATATATGTGTCTTTTCTAGTAGCGCTGCACAGAAGCATTTTGTCCTCTATTAAAAGCTAGGTTGCTATTAGCTAGTACGCTCTAGCTATTACTGCTTATAAGATGTTTAGCTAATCCAAACAGGGTGTAACATTAACTATTCAACCTTCATCTCCATCCGAAACAAAAAGAAATAGCAATAATTTCTCCTCTTTTTTTTTGTTGTTGATTTGAGAAAAATGGACAACTGATCACACAAGGCCATAATAGGCCCCACATGAAGGCAAATCCCAGCCCCAAGCCGAACCCTCCTTCTCGTCACAGACCCACCTTAATTACTAGTGGGAGGACCTGCCACTGTCATGTACAACTAGAGGAAGCCAAGCCAATATAATACGGTTTCGAAGCACAAAGCCATAGCTTTCACTGATGAGCTCCTCAAGTCCTTCGATATCAGCGGTGATCGACCTAGCCATAAAGGAAAACTGCATAACAGTTTGGTCCATATATGCCGTTGGATCCACGTGGACTCTCCAAGGGCTGTTGCGGATTGGCAACTGCAGGCTACCTGCCATATATATGCACCATTCTTTTCTTTGCCTAGTGGAATCAATTCCAACTTGCCAGATAAAGTAAGACTATTTCTTTCTACAAGTGCTGGGATCATTGGTGATGGACAGAGATACATGCAAATCACAGCTGACTAAAAAGCAGAAATGAATAACAACCACTTTCTGGCAGATTTTGGTACCGCCGGTCAGCTGTGACACATTTAAAGAACATGGGCTTTTGCTCAGACTGCCACTTTTATTAATATGGTGTGGATCAGAAGGCCGTGGGTGACTCAGCATGGTGACCTTATGATAATCTCCGACATGAAGATCTTCTCAAATTCCTCCTTTTCTTGAGGGTTTTCTTACAAATTCATGGTGAAGGATCAATCTTTTTGAGGTTATTGTTGTGAACACACTCACCATTCACCATGTATGTGCCAGCTATGGCTGAAGTTTCACCTGATTTGGAGGTCATTTCATTGTATTTTTAACCTCTCCCTCCCAAATCTTTCAAGCTGTTTCTCTGTGCTGATTTTGAAAGTTTTTGAAAGAAGTCCTGATGTTTTGATTTCTCCGAGATAGAGAAACAAACTTACTCCTAAATTCTTTCAAAGGTTCAGGCCAGAAGTTCCAAATTTTACATAGGAAAAATGGCTGAACTCAACTTAGAAGTCGGACATGATATGCCCTTTTGGTGCTTTTGATTGTTCTCTCATGCCTTAATTCTTCCGTGTGAAGAATTTTTGGTTCCCATATTCACCGCTCTGACTATTCTAGAACTTTGTTAGTTAATTGTGCGTCACAAATATGATAACAGTTTGATGCATGGTGAAAGGATGCAATGCATGCTTTCTTTATTTAGTATATATGCGTGCTTGACAACAAGTCCAAAACCCACAAGTATGATGCAATTACAATAGGTAGTGCACATCTGAATCCTTGATCTATTGCGTACATGCCCAACTCTACAGACTAATGCATTAATCTGTACAAGGAGGAGTTTCTCTGTACAAGGAGGAGTTTCTCTGTACATGCCCAACTCTACAGACTAATGCCCATCTCAATAGGTACAAGGAGGAGTTTCTCTGTACGATGCACTGTCACCCCAAATGATTCAGTCATATCAATGCCTTTCTTCGCTAATTCCACAGGTAGCTCCCAATTGAAGTGGTAGACAAGGTTTGCGAGCATGACTTCGATAGTTGAACTTGCAAAGTTTATACCCGGGCATATCCTTCGTCCTGCCCCAAATGGCAAGTATTGGAAATCGTTTCCTTTATTGTCCATAGCTGCGGCGCTACCTCCTTCCATGAACCGCTCAGGCATGAACTCTTCCGCTTTCTCCCAATAGCTAGGATCCCTTGCAAGAGCCCAGCTATTAACAATGGCACGTGTTCCCGATGGTATCGTGTATCCTTCTATGTTGCAATCGGCCATGGAGAGGTGGGGCACAAGAAGGGGCGCTGGCATATGGAGTCGGAGTGTCTCTTTGATGACTGCCTTTAGGTAGACTAAACTGTTAAGCTCGTCTTCAGTTACTATCTCTTTTCCCTTCGCTATAGTGCTTCTCACCTCTGCTTGTAGCTTGTTCATGACGCAGGGGTTTTGCATGAGCTGAGCCATCACATATTCAAGCACTATGAATGATGTATCTGTGCCAGCTTCAAACATGACCTACATACAAATGGATACATATATATAAGAATCAGCAGCATATATGTATATGTGTAGGCGGTAGTTGTGGGTGAGGTCACGTTATTATATACCACCAGCTGCGCCTTAATATGATCTCTCCTGAGGTTGTACTCTTGTTGAAGGGAGAGCAAGACATCGATGAAGTCACTCTCCTCCCCGTCACGTTCTGACGCTGGCCTGCTTGCATGGTCATCGATGAGCGTATTGAGCAAGTCGTCCCACATCTTGTTCACCTTTTGTGCCTTTGCACACACCATCCTCTTGATGATGTCTAGCTTCACCAGCACTGGGAAGTAGTCCTCTATGTTGAATCCCCCGATGAGAGACGAGTTGGCCTCGACGAGCTCCCGGAAAAGTTTATTCCGGCCTTCCTGTCTGAAGAACTTGCCAGACACAGCGTGACACACGATGTCGTTGGCGAAAGAGTTGAGCAGTTCACTCAGGTCGACAACGGTGCCTGCGGTGGCCGCCTCGCGGATCTTAGCCACCACCAACCTCACCTGTTGTGAATTATTTTCAGGCAATCATATCTTCGTCTATTGAACAATATATCTTAGTGATTGCTCAAATTGACGCTTGGTTATTACCTCATGCTCGCGTGCATGGCGGTAGGACCGGACCTTCTTGTTGGTGAGGAGGTGCGTGGTGGCAATCTTCTTGACCTGGCGCCAGTGCTCACAATACGGGGAGAAGGCGACGTCCGTGGAGCCGTAGAAGAGGATGTCGGTGACGGGGGAGTAGGCCCTGGACGCGAAGATGTGGTCTTGTGTGCGGAGCACGGCCTGGGCGGCGCTCGACGAGGACACGATGAGTGTAGGGACGGCACCAAGGTGGAGGAGCATGAGGCCATCACGGCCATGCTTGGCAGAGAGGTCACGGAGAGAGATGTGCGGTAGGGGGCCGACGAGGTGCAGGTGGCCGATGATGGGGAGCCTGCTTGGAGGTGAAGGCAGCTTGCTCAGCAGCTGTTCTCTGGCTCTTGCGGTGGCCGTCGACAGCGCCGTCGTTCCAAAGAGGCGGCGCATGAGGAGGACGAGAAGAGGACAGGCAAGCAGGACAGAGAGCACTAGGGCCAGCTGTGGAGGAGACTTCGCCGGCAGCAGCTCCTTATAGTGGCCATGAGCGTGAGCCATATCACAACGCGCAACGCTTCCCCTGGCTGGCTAGCTAGCTTGCTACTGAATCGATTGATCATAGCTGGGTTTCGTTGCCCTGGTGGCCTTTTATATAGCCAGAACCTGGTGATTGCACCAAGAATAAGGCATCTTTTTAGTCGGTAGTTTATTCAGAAAAGGCTGCAGATAGACATAGAGGGCCATGACCATGAAATGCTACCCCCCTCCGTCTCAAAACAAACTTAGTGAAAATTATTAGAAATACAAATATGGTGAAATTCAATCATTACAATTATTTTAAATACGAATACAATGTAACCACTTTTATATACATGTGCTCCTGCATATTGCCAGTTTTCGACCTTGATTGACTTACTAGGAACAAGTTCAGGGGGCAATGTTAACCCAACCCCCCCCCCTCCCTGCCACCTCACAAAAATATGTCACCTATGTGATATAAAATCTTAATTATAGGGAAAAATGTTCTGATACAAATATAGTAAATGAAGTTTGTGACAGCGCATTGTTAAGAGATCCCAAGTTGATAGTCCCGTGTCAAGTTTGATGTCTGAGAAATACCTTTGTTTTTTGGAAAGTGAGAAAGATCCGTTAGATTGATCTCTAATCCTAACTGGACCCAACGTCCCAGTTGAGCCTTTGATTCGTACCTTGATCGGGGGCGCCCAGCCCACCATAGCTGGAGGGCCCCTGTCACCCTGCGCTATAAAAAAGAGGTGGGGGTCAGCGGCTCTAATCACAAGGTTGACCTGAGCCGAGGTCCCCACCGACACCAAAACCCTAATCACAAGGTTGACCTGAGCCAGTGAAGGGAAGCCACCAGCCGCGCCACCACCAGACTCCACTGTCTTCACCGCCGGTCGCCACCGTGCATCACCGACCCCGTCTTCACCGACCGTCGCTGCCTTACCGTAGACATCGACCCCATGGCGGACACGAGCGGATCTTCTTCCACTGTGGTCTCAGGTTTGACACGTCCATCTTCTACCTCTCCCTTCTCTCTAGTTCTACATGTATTAGGATGAATTGCGCCCTCTATCCCGAATAGAATCACTCTACCGGCTAGATCTATGATCCTAGTGATCCTACAGCGCTAACAAGATCGATGAGTAGCTAGCTCCTAGCTAGCCGTAGGACGACGACCCATACGCGCGCAGCATTATCACCCCAACCTTATTATATATCCCGTCCAAATTATGAGACGATTTGTACACGTTATGTATATATCTATATTTGGTACTAGCGTCAATAATCCTTCGATCCGGCTGGCCGTCCCGCTAACCAGAACCTCAGATGGTATTCGTAGCTGTGACCACGCTACTAGTCTACTAGTTCATCGTAAAGATGTTCTAACAAAGTAAGAGTCTGTACATTATATGTTTATCCTTTGGCCATATATGTGTTGGACGTCTCATCCGCCCCGGATCTGTGAAATGGATAGAGATATGATATTGCTCCTAGTGGATCATATGAGGGAGAAGAGAAGGGATCCGAGAAGTAAAAAAAAAAAAAAAAAAAATCTTGCAGGCAGCGTACAGCGACGTGTGCGATAGATGACTCAGATGAATATATCAGCTGGTTTCCTCTGTTGTTGGATGCATGAATTGATCAATTGCAGAGATAACCTTAATTTGTCCAGTGATCATGACACACACACACACGATGACTTAGTGTGCGTGTGTGTGTGTGTGTTTGCGTGGCATTTTCCGAGTGTCAACATCCTGGAATATCTTCTTTAGAGGACTTCACGACATCCCATAAATCGATCTGATGTGTGACATGTATAATATATATCGACCCAAAAAGAAGAGCACAAAGATAAGATGAAAATCAGTCTATGTGAAATACGTATGTGTCTTGATTTTTCTGGCTTGCCAGAAGTTCAACAAAAATAAGCGTGCAAACACAGAAGGAATGTGACAAGCACCCAATCGACCGAGCTAGCTGTACTACTAGACTAGAGAAATGGCTTACCGCCACTTTCATTGTAGCTAGCAGAATGGCTGACCAAAAACTGCTAGAGTGATTGTAGTAAGGAGTATACATACTACTCTTAACGATTATTCAACGTTAAGTTGCATTGCAACAACAAATTACACACCAGGCGTTGCAGTTACAGTTAATTATGCTGTTTGTTATCAACCAGTGATTACTGAGGGCACTATACAATCATATCAATACAGGAGTAATTTATTTACTATCACAACCAGTGTAACATTAATTATTACCGGCCGGCCCAACTCCAACACATCAAAAAGTTTCTACTGTATATATCACTACCGGAAACAGGGCCTTTGCCGAGTGCAACTTTCTTTGCCGAGGGCTAAAAGTCGGGCACTCGGCAAAGAGCTATTTTGCCGAGTGCCACACTCGGCAAAGAAGGCTTTGCGCCAGACACTCGGCAAATGCCCTTTTTGCCGAGTGTCAGGCACTCGGCAAACCCTGCCGCTCGGCAAAAAGCGGCGGCAGGTAACGGCCGCCGTCTGCCATCCAGGTTTGCCGAGTGCCAGCGGGTAGGCACTCGGCAAACCACTTCTTTGCCGAGTGCCAGACCCTGACACTCAGCAAAGAATAACGGCAAACTATTTTTTCCCACTTTTGAACTCCAAAATTTTTCTCGAGTCCTCCTACGGTACATGAGACTCCATGTTAAAATTTGGTATATTTTTATGGCTTTTTGCTATATTTAGTTAATTTATTTCATTTAATTGAATTTTTTCGGAAAATGCAAATTTGAACTGCACGTGCATCGAATAATGGAATTTAATGATTCAAAAAATGATATTCATGGTATTGAGTGTAGTGTGAGGCCGTATCCAGGAACGAACCCAAAATTTCGAACATCATGTTCACGAAACATGACATACCACATGTGGAGATGTCCTGGTTTGTAAGCATCGTACGTGATAACATGTATCAAACCTTCTCATTTTTTTTGCAGGTTTTGGATACCTCACCGTGCAGGGGTGGTTCGACGGCAGCGCGGTGGTGGTGGTGGATGAATGTGACTTGGCAATGATATGTTGAATTGAATGCATATGTATATGTGGTTGTCGGCCATCGTGCCGTATATTTTTTTGCATGTTTTGGATACTTCACCGTGCAGGGGAGGTTCTGCCAAAATTTTGAACTGAGATAGTATTTTGTTCTTTTTTTTGCAGAGAAGAGCCGTCGTAGCCGAGCCGGAGTATCTCGGCGACCCTGATCGTCTTCCTCGCCGCTGCGGGTCTGCCTGCACCGCGTCGCCTCGCCACTGCACCGACCCGCCATGGCCCTACTAGCCACCACCCTAGGTATAACCCCTCTTTTTCGTATCATGGTCGTAGATCGCGTAACCCAGTTAGGCGTCTCCCGTTCGAAAGAAATACGGTTGGAGGTATGCAGATCTTTGCATATCTACGACCATATCTGTTTTGAATTGTCCACGTTTTTGGGACAGCCCGCGGATGCGTAGATGGGTTAGTTTTCATGGTCTGTTCCAATCCGAGATAGAGTTTTGGCATCACCTCCCTGTTGTTCTCCGAATACACACTCTCCCTAGCAAGACGTGTATCTAGAGAACAACGGGGAGGTCTGTCGAAATTCTATCTCGGATAGGAGTAGACCATGGAGACTAACCTCATCTACGCATCTACGGATGGGATTAGGACCTATCCTCACCTATTAGACAGTAGGAACACCATGTAGATGCAATTTATGGTTACTTTGCTCGGTGATATATATGTTAGAGGATGGATGACCGTCAGTGGATGTACATGGGCCGGAGAAGTCAGAGTGATTACACCAATGGAATAGATGAACAAGTAATGCTTTCTTGAACCGTGTATTTGGCAAGGCAGCTAAATCCCCGAGTCTAGTTTTATGTCCCTGCAGCAAATGTGCAAACAGGAAAAGGGTAAACAAGGACAACATGGGTAAACATCTTTTGAAGAACGGAATTACACCGGACTATACCCGGTGGGTCCACCATGGTGAAGCCCATCGTATGAGAGAGGAGGTGGTGAGACCACGCGTCGAGGCTTATGATGTTGATGCCGGGGTAGCAGACATGTTAGATGGCGCTCACCAAGCACAGTTCGCTGAAGGACGTGTGGAGGAGATGGAGGCAGCCGCACATGCATTCTACGACATGATGGACTCGGCACAGAAACCCCTTCATGATCGGACAACGGTTTCTCAACTGGATGCCATTGGACGCGTAATGGGGTTGAAGTCCGAGTTAAACCTGAGTCGAGAAGGCTTCGATAAGATGTTGGCCGTGATTGGCACCCTGCTTCCGGCGGGCCACATTCTGCCAAAGAGCTTGTATGAGTCACAGAAACTCCTTCGTGCACTTAAGATGCCGTATGAGTAGATACATGCTTGTC